CTTAAAAATATAATATAGAGTATTAATTATTTTTTTATATATTTAGCTTACACCGTCGGGTTTTGCGGGAAACCCGATCAACTCTAGTTGGGATAGTCCGAACAGGATTCCCCAACAACAGTATCTCTCTACAGGAATATTCAGCTCCCTATATTTTGTATTCTTTAGAGGCGTCATCTCAACCGCCGTTGTCTATTGGATTCCCGGCCTGCAAATTTGCCAGCAGAAGCCAGCCTATCCTGTAGGAACCTCCCGGAAAATTTCAAGGCAGAATCATCCAAGAAATTTATTATGGTTAGTGGGAGTAATATAGTTATAGTTATATTTAGTAGTCAAGTTTAACACCTATGTAAAGTCTTTGGCTATAGCAACTATATTTTTCTGAGCACTATCGTATGGGAGAATACCACTGGAGGAACCTTTCACTCACAGAGCGTACTCACCGGTGTTTACCTGGGTTACATGGGATGGTGCTGTATGACGCTGATAATTTGACAGTAGGAATTATTAATCTGTTGATCTCAAACATGCTAAGAGATAGGCTGGGTTTAGACCCGACCCGTATACCTGCGAGAAAGCAAGTCACGTATGATTCCATTGTGGACACCACTAAAGAAACAAAGACAGCATCTGAACCCTAAACATTAAATCACACCAGGAGCCGCGAGAGCAGTAGACAGCAAAAGGGCACTATGTCTTTCTGGCTCTGGCAAATCGTAAGCTGCTAGATCAACACCAGAGAAGCCAGCCTTTTTCAGCTGTTTGTTCCACTGCTCTGCAGATTGCAGGGGGCTCTCTGTTCTACCCTCGTCGACACCGAGCCACCAACCAGACAGCGGACCAAAAGCCATGTTGAAGTAAGGCGTTAACCGAGTAAGCTCAACCAGGCCGAGCACACCGCCGGGCTTCAGCAACTTGTGAATGTTACCCAATGACTTAGTGAGCGACCTCGTCGCGTGTACGACGTTCGCTGCAATGATCAAGTCATATGAATGCTCTTCGAATCCTTGCTTGGCGGGGTCATTTTCCACATTGAGAGTCTTGAATGTGAGCAGACCTTCCCATTTTTTCAGAGTACTTTGACCCGTCTTGAAGAAGCCATGCGAGATGTCGGTATACATATACTGCGAACAGAAGCATTCACCGTTCGGACTGCATGCGTTCAGCACTTGGAAGGTCGTACCTCCTGTGCCGGCACCGACCTCTAGGATCCTCAGGCCTTTCTTACGAGAAGTGAGGATCTTAGCATATTCGGCCACATATCGGTTGGGTCTGGCGCCCTCGTCGGAAAGATACATCCGGAATAGGAGGTTATCTCTGAGCATATGGAAGAGCGGGTTGGTTTGGCCGGTCAACATGCGAACTATCTCCGGCCCAATGCGGGATATTGCTTCCCCTTCGGTGCCCAGCTTCAAAGTGAGCGCCTGTAGGCCTTCCTTAGTGCTTGGGCTCTGCTCAATGAGCATCCGCCCTGACTCAGATTTTACAAACTTTTGCATCACCTTCCACCAGTGGACTCTGTGGTCCTGTTTCAGGACCAGCCCGCGGTCCTGCACCTCCTTGACAGCCCAGTCGATGTACCGGGCACAGGCCGCCGATCCAACGTTGAATTTCTCGGCCGCGGACATTCTAATATCGTCAGATTGCATGGGCATGACAACCGACTCCAGCATCTCTGCGGTAACTGGGACTCCGCCCACGGAGGTTGCCTGACCGAAGGTATCTTCTTCCACTGGAGCAGTATCTTCATCTTCATCCGTGACAGTGTGAGCAGTAAACTCCATACCGGACCATTCCGTGTTGAGCTCACTGTCGAGCCACGACTTCCATCCTTGAACGCCGCCAAAGTAGAACATAATCTTAGCAGGCTTGCCCGGGATATTAGTGCCGACGAACCAAGAGCGGTGCTCAGTGGCGGGCTTGGAGATCCAGACAGAATTCCACAGGCCGTCGGCATGGCCTGTCCATGCATCCACAGCTTTCTCAGTGACATTGACCGCCACCAGATTGTTCTCCTCCATGTGCCCAATAGTTTTGCCGATCCAGTCCATGGCGATCTCTAGCATCACGGGCTGATTGCCTGCCGGCATATGAGGGCCGCAAACGATGAACATGTTAGGGAACCCATTAATCAGCACACCAGCGAAGGTGCCCAGTCTGTCGCTCCAATGTTGCTTTAAGGATTCGCCGTGGCTACCAGTAATCTCCATTTGGTTCAGCGCACCCGTACCGGCATCGAATCCTACCGCAAAAATGATCATATCAAACTCGTATTCCGCACCGGAGCTAGTCCGAATTCCTTTCTCGTACAGTTCAATCTCATCTCTACTAATGTCGACCAGGTCGACGTTGGGCCGATTGAAGGTCTCAAAGTAGTGATGTCCAGACGGCGGACGCTTGGCACCGAAAGGATATTTGGGACACAGGATCTCTGCCTTCTTCGGGTCCTTCACGATGGCGCGGATTTTCTGGCGGATGAATTCTGCGCACTGCTCGTTCGACTGGGGGTCCATAAACACATCATCAAATGTCTCCATCTGGAAGTTGAAACAGCCACGTTCCCAGCCATCGTCGAAGACTTGTCGGATTTGGTCGGGGTCCGTCCCCTTGAGGGTTCTCCCAGATGCTCTGCAGGCGTGACCGGCGAGATTCATCGATGCCATTTCCCATGTGGCATCGTGGTTCTTCTTGACGTCGACGACCTGGTACTCATCGATGACATAATTGCGCCCAGGAAGCACATAGTTCGGTGTGCGTTGAAACACGGTTAGTTCCTGGACGGCAGGCGCAAGTTTGGGAATGAGATGGACACCGGTGGAACCCGTACCCACAATGGCGACACGCTTCCCTTGGACATCCACCTTGTGTGCAGGCCAGGTGGATGCCTGGTACCACTCGCCGGTGTATGTCTGGAGCCCAGGGAAATCTGGGACCTTGGGAACCGACAAGATTCCCGTTGCTGGGAGAAAGTAGCGACAGGTGGTGGACACTCCATTGGCAGTGGTGATCGTCCAGATGTTCTCACTGTCACTGTAGCGTGCGGACGCGACTCGTGTACCAAATTCGATATGCCTTCGCAGATCGTAGCGGTCTGCCTCTTTTGTCAGCTCTATATCCTTTGCCGTTTCGCTAGCGCAGTCCCAACTGACCCACAACACGACCCAAGTATTGTTGAATTTCTTCCTGTGTCGGATATCGTTCTTTAAAGTTCCATTCCTCGAGCAACTCTGGGGCAAAATTGAAAATGTAAACCCAAGCCTCGCCGTCTGTCCGGGACCCGGGATAGCGATTGTAGTACCAGGTGCCTCCTACATCTGGTGCCGCGTCGAAACACTTGACGGACAGGCCCCGGTGCCGTAATTCCCAGAGGGACCTGATACCGCTGAAGCCGGCACCAATGACGATCGCATCGTAATCCGTCCTCTTGTGCGGCATGATGGACTATACGAGAAGGATACAAGGTGAAATTCACCATGTTTGAGCACTCTATGGGAAAACTGACATGTTTTGAATCCGCTCGTCGGAGCGGTTCCTACCGAGGGAGCCAATCGCATGGCTCAGACTACCAGAGGTTCGGTTCAGAGTGTTGGATTAAGCTTATGGGTCCTTCGGTATCGGGCGACTACTAGTCAATCCGAAGGATTTTAGGTCCTAAATACTTTCGCTATTCTCGCTGGAATCGGTATATCATCGGCACCACCCCCTGCATGCTTCATACTTATTCATTTGTTCGAATTCCGGTAATATAGTCACACTAGCTCCCACCCTATCATTTCTATCCAATAACAAATTCCAGACTATTTATTAGTGTGGGGACTTTTTGAAAATTCGGTGGTTCGGACATATCCAGATTTGGTAATAACTGCGGAAGTCGGACCAAAATCCAGCCAAGCCCTAGTTTAGTTTTCGATTCAGCAACAAAGACACGAAAAACAAGCTTATTCCAACAATAGGTCCTTCGACCGGTTCCTGCACCTGTCATGCAATCCATCCGACCGAACCAGTCGGCCCTGCATCGATCCTTCGATGGGCTAATACGCCTCCGGCCGGACCCATTCCAGCTGAAACAATAAAGGCCTGGTGAAGGGCCACTGCACAGATCGATTGACCTCCCAGAATAACCAATCATGGCATCACTCTTCAGTGCCGATAATGCTCCTCAGCTGGGCGTCGCCCTCCTCCGCGTGTCGCCCCTCGTCATCTCGTCCGCGTCCCTCATGTTCAGCTGGGCGCAAGACATCTCGCTCGGCGCCTTCCTGCATCCTTCGCTGCGGACAGATCCCACCCACCCGAGCGGCAAGATCCTACCGCGGTTCCTGCCGGCATTCATGAAACCGGGGATTTGGGGCATTGGATTGACATACCCACCGGCCACCGTGCTCTGCCTAGTGAACGGGTTCAGCGGCCAAAGCTCGGAGATCCGTCATCTCTACTTCGCCGGTGCATTCTTCAGCATCGCTCATTTCTGCTGGGGGCCGTCCATGTTTGCCATTCTGCGCCGCATTCAGGACCCTACCACTGCGGGGGTCCCCAACGAGAGCGCGCTCGAGACGTGGTTGCCCCGCCATCACAGCCGGACGCTCTTGGTGAATGTGCCAGCGTTCCTGTGCATTTTCGCAGCGACAGTGGCGACCATCGCGGAGGGGTTGAAGTAATTATGTTACATCCCCTGTGGATTGCTGTTCGTCAATGTTCTGGAATTTACGTACAGTTAGCAATCCCACGTGCATCGTGCAATAGTAAACTTTCTGTCCCTTCCATAATCCCAGGAATCTTCAGCAAAATGTAACGTTAGCCGTTGGCAGCTTGATCCAGACTACTAGTTAACGACTATCAATTTCCTTCTTCTGCTCCGAAAGCCCCACTGCCTCGTAAATATCAGATCCAGGGATCCACAGTCGATTCGGCAGGATCCGCCGCGGCTCGATTCCCACTTGCACTTTTCCACCAATAGGATCAAACCCGTCAGGGGGCCGAAACTGGCCGACGGAGACGTGGGGAATGCTGGAGCAAATCACTGCCTCGGCGATCCAGGTCGCGTTGCGTGTTGACACATTGAATGATCGTAGGATTAGCTGCGTCAGGGAGCACATGCCGGTCAACCAGTATGCTTATTTCCTAATTGTTAAGATTGCATATGCAGGATAAACGTCGGGCAATTGCCCCTTTCGGTTGGAGTCCCGATCCACTCTCTAGGAATAGCAGTTTTCGGTGATATCGATCTAGTCGAGTTGAGGATAGTAATAAATAGATTCTGCAGACAAGGGCCACCGTGAGACAGGATTCAGATTTACAGTTTCGCTTAGTCGACCACCATGGACCAGCCCGAGGCATTTCCCCCCGGCTACAAGCCCTCGACCCACATTGCGGAGCTACCAGCCACAGCCCCAATACAAGACATTCTCTCGGTCATCGACCGTGATGGCGGCGTTATCGTCAATGGCCTTGTCTGCGAGGAAGATCTAGCTAGTGTTGAACGGGAAATTGCGAAATACACGCATAACGACCGCGAAGACGATGACGGATTTTTCAAGGGGCTCGTGCCACAAGAGACAGTTTTGATCGGCGGCCTCGTCGGCAAATCAGATACCCTCGCGAGAGTCTGCGAGCACCCGGTCCTGGAAGCACTACGGAAAGAGATCCTGACGGACCATGGGACCAGGCGAGTGGAAGGGTATGATCTGCCCTACCACATCGACCCGTTGCTCTCAGTCAGCTTGAGCTTCCGCATGGGCTATGGAGCGCCGCGACAGCTACTGCACCGTGATGACGGAACACACTTAATTGAGCATGAGAGCAAGCCCTACCGCTTGAACCAGGCGGCGCAGCTGGGGTGCTTGATTGCCGGCGTCGAGACGACGCAGGCCAATGGTGCCACAATGTTCATCCCCGGCAGTCACCGATGGGATGACCAGCGAGAGCCACGCTTAGACGAGGTCACGTTTGCTGGTGCGTCCTCCCTCGCTCACGCCAGACCGCGGCTAGCACTAACTGCATGCAGAGATGAAGCCTGGCGCCGCCCTCATTTTCTTGGCATCGTGTTGGCATGGTGCCGGCCATAATAGTGTCCCGGGTGTCACTCGCATCCTGCACGGCCTGTTCTTCGTGCGCGGCACCATGCGCACCCAGGAGAATCAGTTCTTAGCGATTCCTCGCAGCAAGGCACTGACGATGAGTGCGACGATGTTGAATCTGTTAGGGTATCGCCAGCCGACCGCAGCGTTGGGGATGGTGGAAAATGGGGATCCAATGTTGAACTTGGCGGCGGTGTTGGCGGCGGCGAATCAATAGTCGTCGATGCTATATCTTGTATCAGCCGAATGTTCTTTATAGATCTAGACAAGAAGAAGTCAAATGTAACGGTAATACATATACGAGGACAGTGACCCAGATAAGGTCCGCAAGGCCTCCAGTTTCCGGCCCCCATCGTGTTTTCGATCCACCCTTTTATTTAGCGCCAGGATGGCATTCCTTGTCGCTGCCTCCACTAGCGTGTGATAGAATTTTATTTGGTTTATTTAATTAACATGCTGCAGGCGATGATAAGAAACGGAAATGCACGGCTGACGATCCATCGTCGGTAACGGCCGAAAAAAAACAAAAATAAGCGAGGGGTCAGCATACTTATCTGACAGATCTCACCCTTCTGGATTTCCGGATCACATTCTCTTCAGCAGACGATAATAAAAACAGAAACACAACGGGGAAAAAAAGAACAAAATAAAGGGATAATTTACCGCACACCATGAGTATGCTCGTTCATGATCTCGGGCTGTCACGGAGGGCATGCGACCGCTGTCATGGCCAGAAGCTGCGATGCCGCCGGGAGAACAACAATGAGCCCTGTGTTCGCTGTCAGAGAGCAGGCGTCCAGTGTGCCCCAAGGCCCGTGAGATCCAGACATCGCCCACGGGCACACACCACGCAGCAACCAGCGGACATATCGAATGCGAACCCGACACAATCCCTAGGTAAGCCCGGGTGTTCATTAGCAGGTGTCGGAGGACGGCCAAGAGCTAACCCCCTCGGCAAAGGAAATCCATCAGAGCAGACGAACAAAGACATGGCAGAGCATTTTCATCTCTCCCCCTCGAGCTTGCTAGACTTTCCCACGGACTTGGATCTGGGACTTGACTTTGCGTCGCCGCAGTCCGGCATGGATCTAGTGCCGATCCAGAATCATCCGGAGAGCCAACCCTTTCCTCCGGAGCCACGGAGCCGTATGGGTGGGCGATTTGAACCGGACCATCAGAGTGAACTCGACACCGCATCACAGAGCTCGTATCTCCAACCCTCCTCCACATCCACACTGTTGCCCTACTCCGAACCAGCGACGACACGCTCCCAACATCGCTTGTGCCTCGCCAGGACAGTGGCTCCCAAAACCATTAACGTCCCGTCACAGGAAGCGAATAACCTTATGGACTTCGACCACCAGGACGGGACGGCATTGAACAGCGGCAGTGAAGACACAGCGGCGGACTCTGGGTACGGGCAATCCGTCTCGAGTCGACCACATTCCAACAGCAGTGCCACCCAGAGCTCATATTCGCAACAAACGTCCAAACCGACGGGAGATATGACCTCGTGGGTTCGTAAATTGTCAGACATAAATGTGGAGCTGCACCAGCATATGCTGGCCATCCCGTCGGTCGATGTAGAGCACAGCCCGTTGACCAACTCCAAAACGAGCAACGGTCCCAGTTCCCCCCAGGAACTGGCAGTAGATCGCACCTTCAAACTCTCTCATCAGTATACGGAAATCCTGAGTGATATCTTCTCTCAATACAAGACCCGCCAGACATATACCGGATCACCCCCGGCAGCGTTGGCACTAGATCAACCCTCCCAGCTGCTGGTCCTATCCAGTTATCTCTGTCTGGTTGAGTCGTATGACAAGATCTTGCAGCACATCAAAGCATGGACTGAAGTGCGATTGGACATGGAAGGATCGACGGCAGAGGAGCACTTCCCCGTGCAACTACCCAGTGTCGCCATCGGCTGCTTTCAGCTACCGGCATCATCGTCCACTCGACCACTAGTCTTGATCTGCATCATTGAGGCCACTATGACACAGATCCACGACCAAGTCAATGAGATGATGCGACCTGCCCGGACGATAGGCGAGCAGGGCACCCTAGGCGGCGACGGGCTGAGCGGCGTGGCCAAAGTGACGGTACAGGCAATAAGGACTAAGGAAGATTCCACGATGAAGCTTCTCCACGAAGTATGGCGACTGGCGTTGCGATGTGGGGATGACAGGAAACTTAGCGCTGGCGCAGGTTAGGTTATTTGACCTGGCAGAAATAAAAAATAAATTTCCCTTGTTCCATTAGCATTCTGAAAAGTCATAAATAGGTACAATTAGTCATCTCCTGGATATCGTCAAACGCATCAGAAAAATCAATTGCTGTCTCTTCGCTTTCCACCAGAGATCCGCCTAGGGCGCCACACTGAGCTGCGCAAAGGCTGGATATTCGGGTTTACCATCTTCGCCGATGTTCACCACCTTCCCATCGCTCACGTAGGTCTCTACCCACCCGATACTGATTTCGGCATGAATCCCACTAATAAAAGGCTCCTCCTCGGCCTGGAGCACCTGGAACTCCGGGTCTGACGCCCCCTTGTAGAATGTCTCCATGTCGCGGAAGTAAAACTCGACCTGGGCGTCGTAGTCGCGGACCACCCAGGGGCTGCCCCGTTGGGCGTTCAACTGTGTCGTCATGTCCCGGAAGGACTTCGGGGCGAAATACTACACAATCATGATTCAGTAGCTAGCCAAAGCACGTCAGTGGCGCATCGCACGAAGCACTTACGATCGAAAATCCCTCGATCCCATTCTTGGCGTGAAGCTTGGCCGCGCGTGCGGCATGTTGCTCAGTCACCCAGCAATGGAAGTCCTCTTCACTGACGTGTGGTTGGCGGTAGTGCGCCACGGTCATGCGCAGGAGGCGTCTCTTCTGGATGGGCTCGGCCATGGTGGTAACGGGCCTGACAAAGTTTGGTGGAATGGTGGGAAACTCTGAGCTGGGTATCCCCATGGGGGGGAGGCAGGGTGATGAGAACTTTTGTAGCGAGTCCAGGGGGTGGACCGGCACCGTGATCGGCGTTCGGACCTGATGGGGTTCAATGTGTTTTGTATGCAAGCAAACACCGGACAGTGGTAAAAGTGGAACCACATATGCTTCTCAGACCTTGTCCGTACAGGGAAATTGCGCCGAGCGGTGACGGGTCTGTTCATCAGAGAAGAACTTGATACTTAGCATTCGAAGGGACTAAGGTTGAGTTAGATTGCGGAGGGACATGTACTAGCAGGGATTAAGGGAGAATGGGACACTGGTGGGGACATTCATATGCGTGTGATTGGACTTACTAATGAGAACCATCACTGTAGCAGCTCATCATAGAAGGTATTGTGGAATCACTTAAGGGAGGCTAAGTGCGTAGTTGCTACGCTAGCTACTCGGTGGATATCAATTCAGCCAGCCGTACATTCGCCCGAACATCACACTTAGCCCTAATCTATCTCCAGAACAGTCACATCCATAACCGGCCACCTGCTACGCCAGTTCGGCCTCAATCACGCTCTCATACCCCCTACCATCGGGCCATATCTTCACCAACTTCAGCCCGGCCTCGCTCAACACCTTGTTCCACACGGCCTCGGTCCTCTCGTTGGCTGATGCCTGCAACACTAGGCAATCCAGCGTGGCTTGGTAGCAACTGGTGCCCGTTGTCGGGATCACAATGTCGTTGATGAGCACCTTGGAGTAGCCGGGCTTCATAACGGCGGCTACCTGTTTCAGGATTTTGACCGAAGTCTCATCCGACCAGTCGTGAAGAACGGCATGCATGTAGTACGCCCGGCTCCAGCGCACGGGCTGTACGGCGTTCGGCGCAAAGAGGCGTGTCCTACCGTTTTGATCGTGTCCGTAGCAAGCGTCACCGAAGCAACAACGTCCGGCAGGTCCTCGAGAACCAGAGACCCCGCAGGAAGGTCCTGGTGTTTATGGAGAACGCGGAGAAGGTCGATGCCATGGTGGCCACCAACATCCACCACAAAGGGACTGCCATCACTCAAGTCAGCGCCCTCCAGTAGCGCAGTAGTATCGTAGAACTCGGGCCACGGCCTCTTTTGCTTAGCCCATAAGTCCATAAAGGACGAGAAACTCTCCTGGTGTACTGGGTTCGCACTGCATCGTTCAAAGAAGGTCTTCCTCTCGGGAAAGGAGTCAACGTAGCAACTGTCGCTGTCGTCCACTGGCTTCCGGTAGTCGGTCTTAGCCAGGAAGGCAGGCCAGTGCATGGCACACTGCGCGATATGGTCGGTTCTGTGATCTACCGGTTAAACCTTCTAGCGTCGAACATTTTACAATAGACAAGCTGCATACCTGATTCGCAGCGCTGGTGCGACATGGGTACCCTTGTCGCCCAGGGCAAGCGAAAAGGCTGTTGGCGCGTAGCGATCTTCCCCGGTTTCCTGGACAATGTGGTTCGCAGCCATTAGTCGCAGTTGGTGACCTAAAACATATATGAGCCGCTTAAGGTCAAAATCTAGATCTGGCATCAATGCTCACGCAGTAGCTCCGGGTCGACACCTTTCTTAGCGATTGCGGCCAAGTCCTCAACATGCTTCTCTCCGCCAACAGCGGTCCAGGCGTCCCATAAACCCACGTCAATCAGGGCTTGGAGCACAGAGAACATAATAGGCTCTTCAATCGCTAGTCGCATGGTCTTCTCTTCCTTGGTCTCCAGTTTATGGAAAAGCTCACGGGCAGCCAGAGCCAACCGCTGTCGGGAGGCATCACTGTCTTCGAAGGTTGTCAGATCGACTGCGTTGAGCTTTTGAAGCAGTTCTTGCACTATAGTAGCCATAGTAGGGGTATTCATTGAGGAAAGTAAATTTTAGGGAATTATCATGAATAATTATAAATGCAAAATTGGTCAGCCTAGAGCTTTAATATATACTTCGTGTGCAGGCGGAACTTTCCCGGTATATTTCGACGTGCATTTTATTATTATCGCCGATAGAATGGACACTTCGGTGTCTTACATCTCTTTTAGGGATGGGTTGTCAATCTCCGTGGAATATATTATTAAATATATCGGAGTGCAAGGTTAGACCATCTTGAAACATTACGCTAGTAGATAGCACAGTTACTCAGCGATAATGCACAAGTCGCTTCAGGTTCATATTTTTACGTGTCCTAATTCTTTACTAGATGCCATTGCAACGCTGAGAGCAAGTTGACATTCGAGCCAAAGACACCGTTACATACCCCCTCATACTGGTCCACGTTCATCGTCTTCTCATGCTAGCTATCCACAACCCTCCCAGTCGGTCTATTCCCTTTTAGTATACCACCCCATGTACACCCTTGATCTCTCTAATATATTTCCCCTCTCAGTCGAGGAAAGATAGGGAGTAAGTTACTTGCGAGAAGCCAGAACTAACAAGATAAAGGGTGAGCGCCTACAGATTGAGATCGGAACGGGCTTAACTTACACCATACCAACAGTAAGATGTGTAATCGTCTTTCTCGTCATAGCTCCAAAGATAGCCCCCAAAGCACCGTAGAGCGAGACTCGCAAACACGATACTGGCTACAGCTGGTGGCTGCCATAAGGCGATGAGCCCGATCGTCCAGGCCGCGATCAAGGCGGCGAGCGACCAGCGGGCCATAGGTTGAGAGAGCAGCAATGGGATTGTTTTGCGACCCATAAGTGCATCCGCAGAACGATCACGGAAGTCTTGCGCATGGCCCTATATTGACGCGGCTGGTCTCAATCGCCCCAAAGAACATGGCCTAAAGACTTACCGTAGTGGCAAATATAGCTCCGGTCATGACCATAGCGATTGCCTTCAAACCGTGTACCTCCCTTCCATGGTCTTTGAATGCGTTAGTATAGACTTTTATTCACCTATCCATCCACAGTCACAAAGAATTGAAGGCTGACCGAGTATGATGGTGGTTCCCCAACAGTAACATGCGAGGCCTACAGCCCCAATGACATTTTTCACGACGGGTACTGCGGCAAGCCCCCCTTCGTTGTAGATCAAGATGGCCACCGAATAAGTTAGCGTACACGGGATCGTGTTGGTATACAGGGCTGCAACCCACATGAGCGTAAAGAGCACGTAGTAGAGTATGGTTGCGCTTTCCAGTGATATCATCCCCGATGGTAGAGGTCGATGCGGTTTTGCCATTCTGTCTTCCTCCACGCCGTCGATCTGACCGAATCAGGACATAAGTCATAATCTAGGGGGCAAAGATCCCTCTGACCTGATTTTTAACCTACGTTGATGTCAGTCGAAGGCAGCTTGGGCATATAACAGATCTCCTGGAATGTACCTGGAACGTAAGCAAGTGCAATTGGTTCCATAGAAAGCCCTTCACAATCAGATGTAAACTGGATGGTCCAGCGAGCACAAGTGCTATAGTCATCTTCTTATTGTTCAGTACTCAGCGGACAAACTACTGCATGATACGTACAGTAGGCAAAACCGCGGCAGGAATATCAGATTTTCCAAACAAGTATAATGTCTTCATAAACTCCATGGAGGAGGATATATATCCGAAGGGATTTTTCATCACTGACTCGAAAGAGCTCTTCATGGCGACTGACAAGGCAGAAAGATGTAGTCTTCAAGAAGCCAAACAAGATTGAGGATATTGATACCGATGGTTGACCTGCGAATCGCCGATGATAAGGACGTCACACATGTACCCTGATTTGGCGAATCTATGGCATTTGTGTGAAGGCGATAAGCACCTAGGGCTTTCATTCAGGCATGCCATTCATTCCATGCTTCGCTGGCAATGTCCTCTCCCATTGATATACTTCCCGATTAGGAAAGTTCCATTAGCTTCATCCTGGGGATAACCAAAAATGGAAGGTTCCGAGGCTTTTGGAAAACTGAAATACAGTCAGATTTAAATCATCGGCCTGAATTTCTACCTTTGGTTTAGCTATCTCTTAGATGCATTCCAGACTGGTCTGAATCACTTGGTTTGTTGGATGGTCCCATCCCGAATCTATATTCGACTGCGGATGGCTGCTTTAGACAAATTCCGAAGCCATCTAGCGCTTCACTCAATGGTAACGTAGTTATTCATGCAGCAGGTTGGAACTGAATAGCCACCTAGCCTGAAGGGCCAAATCCAGACTCTTAAAACCCCCCATAAGAGCGCTTCTTATACCAAGCAACCTGTCAGACTTCCGCACCACTGAAGGTTGCCAGTTCCCATCTCAGCCATCATGGCTTCTGGTATATCCATTCCAATCAGCTATCTGGCTTTGATAGCCTTACTTGGTCTACTGGTTGTGAAATGGCTTTCCAAGCGCACAGCAAACTATCACCTCCCCCCGGGCCCAAGGCCTCTACCCATTATCGGCAATGTCTTGGATCTCCCCCCGAAGGGAATCCCAGAGTATCAACACTGGTTCAAACACAAGGATGCCTATGGTCCCATCAGCTCAATTAATGTGATGGGGCTGCACCTCGTCATCTTTCATGACAAAGAGGCTGCGTATACAGTAATGGGAAAGAAAGCCCAGAAGACATCGGCAAGGCCGCAGATGAACTTTGCCGCAATGTGTGGTTTCGAAAATTTCCTCATTACACACCAGTACGATGCTAAATATCGTCTGCATCGAAAGATGGTTCAGCAGGAAATTGGCACCAAAGGGCTGTCCGCCACCTTTCAGCCCATACAAGACCAGGAATCCCTTCAATTTATCCTGCAAACCTTCAACAACCCTGATAATATGATGGTCTATTTGAAAACGTAAGTTGCGCTTCTTTCCCCGGTAACTCAGGGGACTATAGTTAGAAAGCTGACGGCACTCCCAGTCTGGCCGCAGCCATCGTTCTCAAGATCACGTATGGCTATGCGATCGAGAGGGATGTAGTTGACCCACTGGCGGAACTGATTGAGCATACGATGGACAACCTCTCCCAGGCATTTGTGCCGCTCGCCTGGGTGGTCGATTCCGTCCCTGCCATCGAGTATCTGCCTGACTGGTTCCCTGGGACATCCTACCGAAAGACCGCTCGGGAATGGAAAGCCGTCAACGAAGCCGCGGCCGAGCTGCCTTACTCGTTTGTCAAGCGGCAATTGGCACGGAAGGCTCATCGACCCTCATACGTTTCAAATCTGCTAGAGCAGTACATGGCCAAGAACGGCAATGAGGAAAGCTTGTCACCGGCCGATGAAGAGGCCATCAAGTGGTCCGCCGTCAGTCTCTATGCCGCCGGCTCGGACAGTACGGTTGCCATTATAGAAAGTGTGATTCTAGCCTTCTTGATCTTCCCAGAAGTAGTGCAAAGGGCGCAAGAAGAGATTGATCGTGTCGTCGGTTCGGATCGACTCCCCAATTTCGAGGACCGGAAGGATATGCCTTACGTCGATGGCATCATCAAAGAAGCCTGGCGGTGGAATCCCGTTGGGCCGATGGGCTTGACCCACAAATCCGAAGAAGACATCGTTTACGGAGAGTACCTCATTCCGAAGGGATCATATTTACTTCCCTCTCTCTGGTGGTTCTTGCACGACCCGAAGGACTACTCTGAGCCAGGCGTCTTCAAGCCGGAGAGGTACATGGCGCCCCTGAATGAGCCCGATCCCAGTGATCTCGCCTTTGGCTATGGCCGAAGAGCCTGTGCTGGCCGCTTTTTCGCGGACGCGAGCGTTTACATCACCGTCGTACGACTGCTGGCAGTCTTTCAGATCCGTAAGGCAAAGGATGCGCACGGCAACGACATTCCTGTCAAGCTTGAGTCGGTGTCCGGCATGGTCAATCGCCCCAAACCATACCAATTCAAGATCGAGCCACGCAGCGCGCATTACGCAGATCTTCTGCGCCGCATTGAGGCTGAGCAAGGCCCGATGGCCGGGGATGCACCTCTCCTCAATATAAGCACGGTGTAGGAGTCCCTCGGACCAGGCTTCTGTTGGACTGAATTATTTTGTTACGGCAGGCGCTATGCTAGACTGATGACCTGGGACGGATAGTTATGCCTTTGGAAATGCATTCAATGAAATTGTTCTATCTCCAGATCCTCCCGTTGCGGGATTAGATGAGCAAAACCACTTCGTTCTAATGATTGTTTTGAATTTGTATTTGGAGTGCTCTCATTTGGGAGAGCCACCCTTTTCATTGTCTATCTTCCGTCCATCTTTTGTCTCCGAGCGGGGACGTTAGGCACGAGTAGTTGCAAATCACTGTAAGCCGTTTGTACCACGCCGGCAGCGGCATGGAGCGATTTATATGCCTTGGTTCCCTTTATAATATCATTTTGTAGAAGCTCCAAAATCTGCTTGAGATCTCTGATATGCATGCTCACGATCGGAAATAGAAGCCTGAGATGTAAGGCGGCAGCCCGAACGTGATATTTCCCCACATAGATGTCCGATAAAGGCGACACATCGTCGATTGACGTAGTCTTACCCTTATGCTGGTACATTACTAGCTGACAGCAAAGGCTTTGCGCGAAAGTCGCAAGCTGCTGAAATATAGTGACGACAAACATTGGGTTTGTAGTGCAGACACAGCAGAGCTTGCAGGGCAACACCTGTTTACACGTCTCGACGCCGTCCCGCAAATATACAAGCAAATCGTCGAAGTGATCTACTTCATCGAGGTTGCTGCCGTCATCACCACTGACCCTCTCAAGAATATCAGCAAGAGATCGAATACACCCGCAGCCGCGGCTCCGGGATGTATGTGAGTCCACGGAAGTCGCAGTTGTTGGCGGATGTATGACGAGGCTGCTCGGGCTATCGTCGTCGATGATCGACGCAGTCGTAGAGGGCGAGTATGAAGAGGTGTCGTGACTGTCGGGCAAAGTAGACTCCATTGGGATGGCATTGATACTCTCGCCCTGGAGAAGGTCTAAGCTCTGAAAATCCTTTGAATGGAAGTCATCCCAGTCATGGAGAAACTCATGAAGGACGGGGCCCGACGACGTGATCGGCGTCCAGAGCCCATCTTTGGTGTCCGCTGGTGGCAATTGTTGGTTCGTGTCTACTGGTCTACTAAGTGCGTCCCCCGTTGCAGACCGGCTGTCGGTATTCCTTCTGGTTTGTTGTCTCTTTGCGGGCGGCTTGGAGGAAGAGTTCGGTGCTGATGTGGATTGTCGACGTTGTGAGCTCGGCTGATCGGTGGCCTTGATTGATGACCGGTAGGTGCAGGTGGTCAATGTTGCTTGACATCGTTGGCAGCCGTATCGGTCGCCGCTACATTTTACCTGATACAAATTACGTCAGACAGACTCTAGAACATGCTGGGACCTGAGACGGTGGCCTACCTTTCGACTCCGACACTGATCACACGCCTAGGAGTGTTTGCTTTAGCATCTGCTTAGCTCATTTCACCAAGGGAAGGCTCACCCACCACCACGGTATAATTGCGCGCATCGACACTACTATTCCCTGACAGGTCAACAAATTCGAGAGTGTTCTGCTCATCCCTACTGCAGCGGAAAGCACCGAACATGGCTGGGAGAAATGACAGGGATCCTGCTCTGCTGTCGGCGCCGTCGTATATACCGTTGAACACGGCCGGAATCTCCCTCGACTCGGATGAGGGGTATCAACCTCCGCCTTCTCTGCCATCCGCATAATCAGCCTCGTGTACTTACCTTTGTTGCCTGAGACCTATAGATTGTGCCCAGTATATTTCAGTCATGGTCATGTATGGCGTACTTACAGTTAGTCACAAAGGTCAATTCTTCCCCTGTCGAGATGGTTGCATCCAATAGAGACCTCCCGGCCCGTTAGCAGTGAGCCATTGTTATCAGTAGTGTCAGACTGGTATCACACCTTCGCCTCCCGGGATTGGGGGAGGCAGTGCTCCCGCCTTCTGGGTGACATCGCTAAGTCTGGCCGATTTAATCTCATTTGTGAGTCGGGCACTAAAGGGGTCGGGATGTCACGGTCGGGAAAAATGGAACTACTAGCGAGAAAGGCTTAACTCGTGGGATCGTTATCATGGACACATGTGTTTCGATACCTCGTCTTTGGGTTTCGGCTTACCACTTACCTAGGTGGGAGATATCCGATTCGGGAGATGGCCGAGGATCGTTGATCTGCAGGAGGTTTAGGTAATGATAGTAGTAAAGGGTTAGACGGGCGAAGGAGTGAGAAGCAGTTCAGAGGGACTTTCGGAACTTTGCTGTCAAGTGCCATCAACAGTCTAGAGGTGACCACCTCGTAGGCTAACCGAAACAGGTATCTATATGCCTGGAGATTAGACTAAGGACCGAAAAGTACGGTAAATCTTACCACAACGCTTAGGAAGGCATAGAAAAGTGGGGGTGAGTGTCGAGGTCGTGAATCCGATCCAGGTTTACGAATCCTTAGAGCACTTAAAACCGGAACTGATTTGTTCCTGATAGTATCTCTCTCCTCATTCCTATCGCCCTCAATTGTGCCACCCCAGGCCCTAGTTGCGTGGTGGGATCACATTATCAGTTACCATCTACAACCGTCAGTTTCACTGCAATCATGGCCCTTAATTTAGAAGAAGCCAAAGCTCACCTTCGGGAGCACGGGTGGGCCAGGATTCCGTCGGTCCTGAGCAAGGAGGGGGCCGCCCACACGTTGGATAGACTCTGGAAGGCCAAAGAAGCGTCTGAGGCGAAGGGGGAGGATACGTTTCAGCCCATTCTGGACCCGAATTCGGCAAATGTACGCGTGTTCTACCTTCCGGAGCTGGATGAGCGGTTCCGTGACCTGCTCACGCACCCCACGGGCATTGAGTTGACCCAGTCAGTGCTCGGGGACAAGTTCCTCGTCAGCAACTTTTCGGCCAACATCGCGCGACCAGGGGCGCAGAGCATGGCCCTCCACTCCGATCAGAGCATCGTCCTCCCGGAGCCATGGCAGGATATATGGGCCGTCAATGTGATTTGGTGCCTTACCCGAATGACGAAAGAAAACGGTGCGACTCTATACATTCCGGGCTCGAATCGGTGGACCCGCTGGGAGGATGTTCCACCCAACGCCCCGGACCTCCTAGTGCCATTTGAAGCGGATGCGGGCGACATTGTGGTCCTAGATGGCCGTCTGTGGCATACATCTGGGAGCAATGTAACGTCGGATGAGGACCGTGCCATCCTGTTTGCGTATTATACGGCGCCGTACATGCGTCAGTTAGTCAACTGGACAGCCAAGTTACCCAAGGAGCTTCAAGAGTCACTGAGCCCGGAGTTGAAGGAATTATTGGGACTCAGTCATATTGGCTATGTGGTCCACGGCGACTTAACATACATGGCCGACAAATACCCCAAAGCTAGTCCATCGTCAGCGCCTACGAGGGGTAATGTATGATAGGGAAATAGTTGAAATCGCGGAGAATATCTGAACTGAGACACGTCGAAGAGGGAACAACGTAGAACGCACTGTCCATGCTCGGTCTCCATTTGTAGACCGGCAGTAGATACAGGTACGACAGACACAACGCAGGGAACAATACGCGGGTCAGAAAAATGTCTGAAGACATCTCGCAGCTTCTGGACGAGTGGGCGACACGCCTGTATTTCGCGATGGCCACCACGAGGGGGTCATCTGACTCTCTGAGCAGTCTGCAAATGCGCTGTGGGACTATTGGCTCCGTAGAGCGCGCGGACGATCCCCAAAGCCTCGGGAGAATGTGAAGAGCGTTCAGTCATCTCACTCCCACATGCCCTGCAACCACGTTGGCATCAGTCTTCCTTCCTGGGGACTTTCCTCTCCTGATGTTATTCGATCTAGCCTACGTGCTACCGTGCTTTATCCATTTCATCTGACTAATCTTTCCATACCCTACTATATTATTTAATCCGTGCTGTACGACGTGGACTATGCGCTATTCACATTGTCGGTCGTGGGGATCGGAATCGGGCCTCCGGGAGAGTCTTCCAGTCTTGCCGTCAAGACCTCGACCCCAGTTTCGGTAACCAGCAAGGTGTGTTCTGCACAGATGTTAGCGTTGGATTCTGTATGTAATATGCATACTGTACTTACCAAATTGAGCCGTCCGTTTACCATCTACCGTTACGTTAGTCCAGTCATCGGGCCAATAGATTTCCCGAGGTTTTCCCAGCGTCAGAATAGGCTCAATGGTAAAAGTCATTCCAGGTTTACACACTCCGGGCACCTTACTCTTTGCATAATGAGGGATCCATGGCGGGGGGTGGAATTCGGTGTTGATACCATGGCCGCCCCAGGTTGCGTGGACACTACAGTTTCGGGACTTTGCATGCTTCTCAATAACCTTGCCAAAGTCTCGGAACAGGGTACCAGGCTTCACGAGCTCAATTGCTATATCCAAGCACTCTCGTGTTGTTTCTACCACCCGGACTGAGTCGGGATCGGCCTTGGCTCGGTCACCCACATAATACGTTTCGTTCAGATCAGCGTGATATCCTCCGTGATATAAGGAGATATCAAGATTCAGGATATCGCCATCGAGAAGGATCCGCTGATCTGGAATCCCGTGACAAACCACCTCATTCGGGGACGTACACAGCGATTTGGGGAAATGGTTATAGTTTAAGGGCGAAGGATAGGCCTGTCTGTATTAGAAAGTATATATTATTAGGAAGCGAGTAATACCTACATCGCGTTCGACGCAAGCCTTGTGGCAGATCTCGTCCAGGTAATCAGTGGTAATGCCCGGCCTGAGCTCTGCTGCGGTAATGTCCAATACCTCCCGAGCTAAACGGCATACCTTGCGCATGGCCTCCTGCCCCTTAGCATCGAGAATATCAATCTTTGTCCGGCTTAAGCGCCGTTCTCCCTTCGGAATACCGGTCTCAGACCAGTCAGGGCGTCTGATCGACTTAGGAAGGGTACGCATCGGAGACAGCGGATAGACCGGTTGAACCGACCCGGTGAAGGAGTAGGTCGGAAAAGGATTGTAAAGACCGGTAACTGGATCGGGTTCAGAGACAACCTTCGGAGGGATTATTTTGCGGAAGATACCATTCTGTGTCTTGCCTTGAGCCGTTTTGTGGACGGTCTTGTGTTCGGCCTATCGCACGAGCTTAGTCAGCGATGAGATTCCAGTCCTGATCGAATGAGGAAACCCACCCAGTTCTTCTTAAAGCAGTCTTGGGAGCAGAAATAGCTATCTTTCATACCCAGCTTCAAGCAGGTTGGACACTGCAAGGCTTCCGCATCATTGTCACAGTCGACTCCGAGACACTTTCTCTTCGAGGGCAGTTCGAAGGCGATGTCGCCCATGGTCGTGGCTAGGCCTGGTTCCTGGAATATGGAATGCAACGATCAAACGGAGATTTGGAGGGAAGAAGAAAATGTATGGTTCCGTTTCGCTCTCGCTAGTCAGGGGTCGGTCCACGCACAGAATGGTTCGATCGTCACAGAACCAGTCTCACTTCGCTGGAAGAAATTCGTAATCAGCAAAAGTGGCATTTCATTCATTGTGTGAGTTCAGAGACGGGAGGAGAGACGGCATTGTCAGATTGGGCAACTGCGCCGAATGTGACGAGAGGGCACGTGACGAGGGAAACTCCGATCCTCAGTTGGCTGTTCACTCGTTCAGGGCCGGACCCATTAGTACGTTACATAGCGGGAAGTTTGTCATGTAATCCACCCGTTGATAGGCTGATCATCCGATCCGTTACGAAGATCCACTCGGCCCGGTGGGGCTCGGGTGGGTCCGGCCCGAAATACTTACTAGTTCGCGGGGCGCAAATGGGCGTCGAAGGCTGACCACAAACTGAACCGTTTTCTTTTCTACAAAAGTTCCAACCCCAATTTTATTCACGACACCAACTGCCGGTCGCAAAAATGGCTGCCACAGCCCCTGCTGAGGAGCTCAAGACGCTCAGCGGTGTGTTATGTCTCTGATGCACAGTATGAATCCAACGACACGTGCTAATCGAAGCGTGTTTAGTTAACACCCCCCTTGACAAGGGGAACGGTGAGAACGAAACCGCAAACGGGGATGCCGCAGAGCACTCGGACGACGGATCCGATGCAGACGAACAGGTGCCTGAAGCCACTGCCCCCGCCGGAGAAGGTGGCGCCAAGAAAAAGAAAAACAAAAAGAAGAAGCCCAAGAAGAAGAAGAAGAGTCCAACGGCGCAGACCGAGCCTCCGTCAATCCCCCTGTCCCAACTGTTCCCAAACAAGAACTATCCAAAGGGTGAGGAGGTCGAGTATAAGGATGACAATCTGTATCGCACCACCAGCGAAGAGAAACGCTATCTGGATAACATGAACGCCGACTTCCTTTCGGACTACCGCCAAGCGGCGGAGACGCATCGTCAGGTCCGCCAGTGGGCGCAAAAGAACATTAAACCAGGTCAGACGCTTACCGAGATTGCCAACGGTATTGAGGATAGCGTTCGTCGGCTAGTGGGACACGATGGCTTGACCGAAGGCGATGCGATTATCGCCGGCATGGGTTTCCCCACGGGCTTGAACCTCGATGACGTTGCGGCCCATTACAGCCCCAATGCAGGCTGCAAGAAGGTGCTTCAACAGAACAATGTCATGAAGGTAGACATCGGTGTTCAGATAAATGGTCGGATCGTCGATAGTGCCTTTACCATGGCATTCGATCCGATGTATGACAACCTCCTTGCCGCCGTCAAGGACGCCACCAACACAGGTCTCCGCGAAGCAGGAATTGATGTTCGCCTCGGTGAGCTTGGCGGATATATCCAGGAGGCTATGGAAAGCTACGAATGCGAGATCAATGGGACGACTTACCCCATCAAGCCAATTCGTAACATCACCGGCCACAATATCTTACCATACAGCATCCACGGTACGAAGAGTGTTCCCTCCGTCAAGTCGAGCGATGCGACCAAGATGGAAGAAGGTGATGTCTTTGCCATTGAGACTTTTGGTAGTACTGGTAACGGTCGCTGTGTCGAGCAGGGTGAGGTTTCACATTACGCCCTGAGCAGCGATGCGCCCAAGGTAGACCTCCGCCTGTCGTCGGCTAAGTCACTGTTGAATACCATAAAGAAGAACTTTGGTACTCTTCCATTCTGTCGGCGCTATCTGGACCGGATCGGACAAGATAAGTATCTACTCGGAGTATGGATGTCCTAGCGCTAAAAGATGCATTTCAAGTGGCTAACTAATGGATAGCTGAACAATCTTGTAAAATCCGGCATTGTGGACGATTACCCGCCTCTGGTGGACAAGAAGGGCTCCTACACTGCCCAATTTGAGCATGTAAGTGATTCCCTCGGTGTCGTTAACAGATCCTTATTAATGTCCCCCTCCAGACCATTTTGCTCCGGCCGAACGTGAAGGAAGTCATCAGCCGTGGAGACGACTATTGAGTCTGTCAGGAATGGTTACGCTCAGCGTATGGTACAATCAAAGATGGCAGGCTCACGCACACATCAGGATTTATAGCGGTAACGCAGACCCCTGGATCATGTGTCTGCTCTGTTACAACGGCTGGACCGCATTCTCATTGTAGCTTGAGCACTTTCGTCGTACAGCCCGAACATCCGAAACAGATATCCAAGCATCGTTCTTTGTGAAGCCGTCAGTCCTTGCAAATGCTATTAACTGACTTAGGATCTACCAAAAAACTCTTTTGATCAGAGAGAAATTATCGTTATCTGTATATTGGTAGAGATCATGTATATCGCTACCATGTGACCGTAGTATCGTCTTATAGTCCTGATAAAGCACTTCCCACAAAAGCGACGACCCATTGTGCAGACTGATATATGCCACTCTTTCCTATTCGGCGCCATCAGCCACTTTCGGCGTACGGACTACTGTAGTACTGCACCTTGGTTTCGGTGCCAAGTTCCCGCCTTCGGCATCAAGTACCGTAGCGGATGGGTTGCGAGCACCAAAACAAGCGAAAGGAGAAACAAAACGGAGAACATGTGATGACACTGGCTCGCAGACATTCCAGGCGACTTATTTAAGACCAGCCTGTCCGATAGACTTTCTCAGCTACCAACCTTGCCCAGCAGTGAACTCCACAATACGACAATGGATAATTTTATGGACATGACGAAGAAAGCCGGCCACACGGCCGAGCTGGAACGCCTGGTTGCTCTCCACGAGACATACTATGATGCCATGGATGGCAAGCTTGTCTTGGCACCTCTCGACCTCCAGGAGCCGGGCAAGAAGATCCTCGACTGCGGCACCGCGGACGGTTAGTGGCCCTTCTCCAACATCCAGATGAATGTCGACTGATATTTGTCTATAGGTATCTGGCTTCGCGACGTGCGGAAGTCGGCCCCAGCGGAACACCAGTACTTCGGCAGCGACATCGAGCCGGAGCTCTTCCCTGAGCAACCTGACGGCATTACATACTTCCCCCAATCTTTCAGCGAGCCATGGGCCGACGAGCACAAAGACGCATTCGACCTTGTCCACGTCCGGGGGAGCCTGGCGGGCTCCAGCCCCAAGAGGCCCGTCGATGTGGTCAAGGGACTTGCCTCCGTGACGAAGCCGGGCGGCTGGGTCCAGCTCATGGAGTTGAATGCGTTCAGCGCCCCCAGCAACGGTCCTGCCATGACCGACTTCGCGCGCATGGCCTCCGAGATCTGGGCCGGGATCAAGGTGGGTGACTTCGCCAATGAGCTGAAGTCCATGTTGGAGGAGGTGGGCCTGCAGAACGTCCAAGAGAAGAGAGTCATCGTTTCCTTGGGGAAGCAGGCGAAGCCCGAATTACATGCCAAGAGTATCCATGGGGTGACCGGACCTATTCGGCCCCTGACGTCGGTCGCGCGGAGTGTGCCCAATTCTTTCACGGATGAGCAGCTTTCATCCTTACCGGACCGGGTGAGGGAGGAGTTGGAGACTGAGGGAGGAAGGGTTGAGATGGTTGTGGCATGGGGTCAGCGTGTCTAGATGGGGTTTCCCTTCATGCCCTTCACATTGGCGCAGAGAGTTGGAGTATATATGTTTCATGTCCTTTATGAACGTCTTGCGTACATCCCTATTATAACTTGTCCGTGTGGGCCCGCAAATATTAGGAATGCACGAGCTATAAACATTCTATAATTCTGTTCGTGTAAAGAATCCGTCCGATACGTATAATTCCCGGTACTGTATGGTGTATTATACAATAAAAACCAGGCCCCACTATGTGAATACCTGAAACTAGAGGTATTGTCGATACGACAGACATTACGTAACTTGAGTTTGCCATGCCCCACAACTGTTTTCCAAGTCCTTCACATGTTCAGGATCATGCTTTTCAGACGCGAGATGAGGCAAATCTACTAGTAGAACGATCAAACGGGAGAAAATTCGCTAGCAGATGGAATCTGTACTCAAGTGATTTTTTGTTCGTCGATCAAGGTTCTTCTGGGATCACCTCGGTGGTGTAGAAAGGTGATTCGAGCTGTACTCCATAAGTATTATACTCACATTGGGTAGAGCCATCCAAATATATATACCACATTGAGAGGATAGTTAGACTCTTCCACACTGATAATATATTCCTACAGGCATTTTGCTAGGGATTGCTATTTAATTCAAGCTTGCTTAATATACGGAGAGCAATAGCAGCAGCAGAGAGACTTAATCCTCGAGCGTATTCTAGTTCTCATGAGTATGTCGAGTGAAGATGTGTTGGGGGGGTTGATAATATCGACCACGTGATGATAGGGTGATGGACCTGGAGATGGACGTCGCAGGAGCTGCTAACCTACTAAATGTGCCCGGCACGCGATCGGCAGGGATGCGATCGGCGACTCCCCGCTCAACCAGTGAGATTTCTCAATGATCTAAACTTGCTTCTGATCAAATAAACTACTATTATACTCTTCGGCGAACTAACTAACTAACTGACGAAAATTGAATGTCTCTTTCGAATCGCTTTCCTCACGATCAGTATCCCCCAAGACTACGTGACCGTTGCCAGACTACAGGACCAGCTCACGCAAGTCGGATTTCGCCCCCAATGGCACTCTCTCAATCCCGAATTTGGCGTCTAACCACTGGAAGGTTCTGTGCGCCGAGTAACCGAACGCCCCGATTTTGGCCTGGAGCCCTCCGTGGGCGATGTCCTGGGCGATCCACTTTTCCTTGTCCACACCTGGTGTTAGACTCGTCAGGCAGTCGTAAATCTTGTTGGTGGTGGTCGCTGGGTCGAAATACCAGCTCGCTCCGGCCCCAGTGACCAACGTGGGACACTTTACGTTGGCAAGATACTCGGTTCCGTCTGGGTTGAGTAGTGTATAGTCGCCGAAACTCCGCATGATGTCGGCCTCGGTGGTAGTGCCGGTGGCCCACTTTAGATGATTGAACTCCCATCGCGCTTGGAAGTCCAATCGCTGGAGAGACCGCAAAATGCCGTTGAAGACTGCGTCGGACAGCCAGCCGTTCATGAAGCCGTGGAAGAGAGGCCCGGGCATTCTGCCGCCGACAAAACTGGCTAAACTGTAGAATCCGTCGACGCTCACGCAAGCCTTGATCCGTGCGTCGGCGGCCGCACGCAGGGCAAAATATCCCCCCATCGAGGCCCCGGTGACAGCAATGTGATCCAAGTCGAGCTCCAGCTCGGGATGGCGGGTGGCGAAGTCAAAGAGGTGATCCAGGACCGCACTGGTGACCACTTCCCAGTCTGGGCGCATCGGTAGCTTGTCGCGACGAAGCACAATTCCCTGACCAGGTCCTCGAAGGTGACCACGGCATACCCGAGTTCGGGCCCAAATGCCGGGTTGACAAAGTAGATCTCCTCTTGCGTCGAATCGCCTCCCCCAGAGTTTAGTAGGATAGGAATCTTGCGACCCGGAATGCGCCTGGCAGCTTCGGGCAGGTAGAGGTAGCCGGGCAACTTGAGCCCATTTTCGTACGGTATCTCCAGAAAGAACGTCTTCCCATCGCGATATTGGACGCCCTTTCGAAAGTTTGCAATGGCGTGCTCGATACTTGGAAGAACGCGCTGATCGTGCCCAATTGGGCCCTCGTTGAGCATGAACTGCGCCGCGCGGATGTAGTTGGAGGACCGGAGGTAGGCACGACGCGCGGATACACGGTCGCCTGCCTGCTCGGCCTCCTGAGCGATCGCTTCTGCTTTGTTACCGGCATCGAGGAAGGCGCTGAACCACGATTCCGGATCAAGATCCTTGATTTTGGCGGCTGCTTCGAGGGCCTCACCGATCTCGGCGCCCTCGTGGGGCGCATGGCGAGAAGGCGAAGGTACTCGAAGTTAAAGAAGGGGGACTTGAAGAAGGTGTGCATCATCGCCATGATTAAGAATTAAGTGCAATGGGTTGTGGAATGGGCATCCCCTGAAGGCCAATAACAAGTTGTGGAGCAATGAAGGTCCTGGCATTCCAGTCAGGCCTCTGGTGTATAGATCCTTTAGCCCGTATTTGACAAAAGCTTCGAGGAAATTGAACCAAGAGGTCAGACTCAGGGACGACAACTGCGATCAGAGAGCGATTACTCACAGGGTACGAGACCTTTCGCAGAAAATCCCCTGTTCGGCAGTCCGTACGGTGATAGGATTAATGTTGAATATGGCAATATGGAATGAACTCCGACAGGACACACCAGAAGAGGTTTTCTTTGGACGATTGCTCTGCTGTGCTCAGATTCGGCACCGTGTGAGTTGTATACTAGGCAAAAGCACCGGATCCGAATCATTCGGTACCTTGACCTTTGGGTGTCTGGGGCCAACCCCTTCATTGGCTAAATCGCCGTCCCACCACGGCCTTTATTTATTTCGAAGACCAAGCCAGGGTTACACAGCTTGATTTTACTACGTTTGTACTACATCTAATTAATAATTCGTCGCCGTTCGCCATCAAGCGTATGCAGATCTACGATGGCATACATACATTCGCCAAAAGAACCCATCGCTATCATTGGTAGCGGATGTCGGTTCCCAGGGGACTCGACCTCCCCATCAAAGTTGTGGGAGTTGCTGCACTCGCCGCGAGATCTATCGAAGAAGATCCCCTCAGAATCACGATTTAACGCCGACGGATTCTACCACCCTAATGGCGAGCGCCACGGGAGCAGCAATGTCACCAAGTCCTATTTCATCGAAGAGGACCCACGACTTTTTGACGCCGGGTTCTTCAGTATTGCCCCCCGTGAGGCCGAGGCGATTGACCCGCAGCAACGGCTCCTGCTCGAGACTGTCTATGAAGCGATGGAAAATGCAGGACTCACCCTACAAGGGCTCAAAGGCAGCATGACCTCCGCCTATGTCGGCGCGATGTCGGCGGATTATACGGATACCCAAACACGGGATGTTGAGAATATGTCCCAGTACATGATCACAGGAACGTCACGCGCACTGCTCTCGAATCGTTTATCGTACTTCTTTGATTGGCATGGCCCCTCCATCTCGGTCGACACGGCATGCTCGTCCAGTTTAGCGGCGGTCCATCTCGGTGTTCAAAGTTTACGAAATGGCGAGTGTACAGCTTCTTGTGTGGCGGGCTCCAACTTAATTTTGGGACCGGATGCATATCTTGCGTCCACGAGTCTCCATTTGCTCTCGGCCACTGGAAAATCTCAGATGTGGGACCAGGGCGCCGACGGATATGCCCGAGGGGAAGGTATTTGTGCTTTCTTTATGAAGACGCTCTCTCAGGCTCTTCAGGATGGAGACCGAATTGATGCAATCATTCGAGAGACATGTGTCAATTCGGATGGCCGTACGAAAGGTATTGCGCTACCAAGTGCTGAGGCGCAGGCCGCGTTGATTAGCACCGCCTATAAGAATGCGGGACTAGACATCTTGAGAGCCGAGGATAGGCCTCAATACATTGAGGCACATGGTAAGTTCCATCTGCCTGCCAGCCTGGTTTCTGCAGGGTCAACAAGCTTGTGCTGGGTTTGTGATAATTTGACTGATGATTGTGCAATGTAGGAACTGGCACCCAGGCTGGAGACCCTAGAGAAGCATCTGCTCTCAGCCAAACGTTTTTCCCACCTGGCCACAACCATGATGAGAGACCTTCTCTGATTGTAGGGTCCGTGAAGACAATTATTGGACACACAGAAGGAAGTATGTAGTTCGACCTGTTACGCGTATCAGAGGCTGATCTCGGACACTGCAGCTGCCGGTATTGCGGGAATGTTGAAGACATTACTTGCGATGCAACACAAGACAATTCCGCCCAACCAGCATCTTCATAACCTGAATCCGAGCGTGAAGCCTTTCTATAAGAAGCTGCAAATACCCAATACTCCGCAGGAATGGCCACAAGTCCCTCCAAACCAACCGCTTCGCGCGAGTGTCAACGGTTTCGGCTCCGGCGGCACCAACTGCCACGCGATCATGGAAAGTTACATCCCCGAAGTCCATGACCGTGGCCCATGGGGAAGACCGAAGGCAATCTGTGAGGTCCAACCTTCCGTTGTACCGGAGGTTGATTTTACCCCTACCCCTCTTGTTTTCTCGGCCAGTTCCGAATCGTCTCTGGTCGCAATGCTGGAGAAATATGCGCACTACCTGAAGACTACCGATGTGTCTATTCAACGTCTGGCGATGGTCCTTAACTTGCATCGTTCAACCCTTCCGGTGCGAATTGCCATCACAGGGAGCTCGAAGCAAGACGTACTAGAGGCGATCAACAAACAGCTGGCGAAAGTCCGCGAGAGCCTGGTACAGCCATAGGCACCCGCCCCCCCCGTCATAGAATTCGATGAGAACAGACGGCCTCGGATTCTAGGTGTGTTTACGGGACAGGGGGCACAATGGCCGGGTATGGGCCAGGCTTTAATGAAGCGATGTGCCTTGTTCAGAGAAAAAATGGAGGTCATGGAGCAGGCACTGGCACAGCTTCCCGATCCACCGGAGTGGTCTCTCAAAGAAGAACTAATGGCACCACCCGGCAAGTCTCGTCTAAGCGAAGCCGAACTATCCCTCCCTATCTGTGCAGCGGTTCAGGTAGGACTTGTTAGTTTGCTCTCTGAAGCAGGCATCACATTTCACACTGTGGTCGGCCATTCGGGCGGTGAAATCGGTGCTGCGTATGCTGTCGGGAAGATCTCTGCAGAGGACGCGGTGAAGATTGCTTATTACCGCGGCATCGTCTGCAAGCTTGCCATTGGACCCGATGGAAATCGGGGAGCAATGATTGCTGTCGGGTTCGGTTATGAGGAAGGGCTCAATTTCTGTTCATCCGCTCAGATGAAGGGCCGTCTAACCGTAGCCGCTAGTAATTCGCCCAAGAGCGTCACGCTTTCTGGCGATGAGGACGCGGTCCTTGAGGCCAAGCAAATGCTCGATAATGAAGGCCTGTTTAATCGTGTGCTCAAGGTAGACACTGCCTACCATTCATCTCATATGTTGCCGTGTGCTGAGCCCTATACTGCTCAACTCGAAACCTGCAACGTCCAGGTAGGAAAGGGCAACGGAGTCACTGCCTGGGTATCTAGCGTCTATGAAGACAGCAGAACAATTACTGATGTACAGGATCCCGATATGCGGGGAGCATACTGGACAGATAATCTGATTGGACGAGTTCTGTTTTCTCAGGCACTTGAGGCCGCGCTCGACGATGGTAGAGGAGCCCTCGATCTCATCCTTGAAGTTGGACCGCACCCAGCCTTGAGAGGGCCGACACTGGAAACGATGAGGACCAAGCTTGGCTACGAAGTCCCCTATTCCGGTGTCTTAGACCGAAAGGCGGACGACATCACGGCGTTCAGCAACGCTTTAGGCCTTGTTTGGACACATCTGGGCTCTGCTTGTGTCAACTTTGCCGGCTACCTATCTGCATTTGAGGAAGGTAATCGTCAAGTAGATGTGACTCCTTTGTCGGATCTACCAACCTATCCATGGGATCACAAGCAGATCATGTACCGGGAATCCCGACTCAATAAACAGGTCAGACACAGATCGGCCCAGCCTCATGAGCTGCTTGGTAGCAGAACCCCGGATGACACAGATTATGAGCCGAGATGGCGGAACTTCCTTAAGCTGGAGGAGATGCCATGGTTACGCGACCATTGCATCGAGAACCAGATCATTGTGCCCGCAGCTACATATTGCGTTATAGCCCTGGAGGCTGCTAGGACCCTGGCCACAGGAAAGCAAGTGGAAAGCATAGAGCTTTCGAACGTGGCGATCCTCCGACCAATCGTCTTAGATGAGTCTTCTGGCGGAACGGAGACTTTGCTGTCTCTGCGCAGTGATATCGACTCTATCAAGGGCAAGACTGAATGTATCCGAGCGGAGTTCAGTCTCAGCGCGGGTACAGTGGAGGATGGACACATGAGGACAGCCGCTACGGGAGAAATACGTATTTCCCTCGCCAGCGAAGAATCCAACTCCACCGGCTTGTTTCCTATCAGATCCCACAAGCCACAACACGAGCTGTTGTCCGTCAATGTCAACCAGTTCTATGAATCCCTCAGCCGAGTTGGCTTGGGTTACAGCGGACCGTTCAGGGCTATAACCTCTGTGGAGAGACAGATGGACATGGCATCCGCTGTCATCGCGATCGATGAGGAAGTGGGAAGGTCAACTCCGGTCCACCCGACTTGGCTTGACGCATGCTTCCAGACATTCCTTGCAGCATATGCCGCTCCTCGAGATGGTGGGATATGGACCGCGTTCATGCCCACTACGATCGGCCGCATGACCTTTTCTCCGACGCCAAACATCACAGGCTCTGTGGCCGTCGACGCGCGCCTTACCGAATTTACACCAGGGTTTCAAGCAACCTTGCCAACAATTAATGGCGATATGAGTATCTACAACTCTAAGACCGGCCAGTTAGAAGTGCGCATCGAAGATTTCACAATGAGCTCCTTCCTTCCCGCTGGTGAGAAGGACGATAGAACATTGTATTTGAAGACGATATGGCAACAAGACATCCTCTCGGGAGCTACCTTCGAAGCGGAGGAGCAGACTTCTTCTCCCCGTGAGCTGAAGGTCATTGATGCCTGTGAAAAAGTAATTCACTATTACCTGTCACAGCTTAGTATGGACATGTCCTTCTACGAACTGGCCGACAAGATCCCAGGCTTAATGGGTTTGATTGAGAAGGCAGCAGCCCGTGATGCGAGCGAGCCAACTCAATCTGAGCTGGCTTCCATCATGGAAGATTTTGGGGAGCACATAGATATGCTGCTTGTTAAGGTAATCGGCGAGAAGCTCTTGAATAATTCTCCGGTCAGCGCTGAAGCACCAGCATCGCTGAGTGAGCTTGTCTCCCGTTGGCACAATGAAGGGATAGGGTTCGCCCAAGTTCACAAGCATATGGTGAGCGCAGCGAAACAGA